CTCCTCTTCCAGCTTGATGACTCTGGCCTGGGCATTGCTCAAGGCCTGGTCCAGGATCTCAATGTGTCTCCGATGGTCCTCGCTTGCAGTCCGTACCACCGCCAGCTCCATTTCTAACCTCTCCTTTTCCTTCAGGAACTCTTTGTCTGGAAGGGAGAAAGGACAGAGCTCGCTCTGTCAGAAAGCACTTGGCCGCTGAGCTCCCTTCCCTGGCAAGGGGGAGAGCTTAAGAGCAAATGTTTACAGGGCCAGGTTCCTGCCATCCCCCTTCCCAACAGCAGTGGTGTTTAAAGCGCACGGAGCCTTTGAGAGCCAGTAACGGAGAGCCCCCAGCTCACAGAAAGGCTCGCCGTTTATTAGCAGCTAAGTCTCCCTCTCGCAGGATGGTCCTTACTTTGTTGTTATAAGAGATCTTAGGAAAGGCCAGCTTCATGCTCAAGTTTTGGCTGAGTTCTGATGCATATACAGGGAATTCCTAGAACAGGCAAGTTGACACACCAGGTAATTCATGCCCAGAATGGCTGTTTACTCAGTGGATATCAATTACCCAGAGCTATTTGGAATGGCGTTGTTTAGCCTGATGGCTCTGGTCCCACTGACACAGAAGATGTCTGCTCACACACTGTTTACTCTCGAAACCACAGCAATGGCACAGGCTCTGAGGCCAAGCCAATCTGATTGATTCTGGCGCCTTCCATACCAGAGAACCTTGCACATGACTTCATTGTTCTAAGCTTGCAACTCTTCAAATAAAGCTAGCAAAACATTTTTCAGGACTGCTGTTGAATATTAACATGACTGTCAGTGAAATGCCTACCAAAGGACTCAGCACATAACATATGCTCCACAAACAATAACATCTGACCCTGGAGACTTAGCACATCCCAGACACCAAGCCACAAGCTTTACAAGAGAAGCCCCTGGATCCTCACATCAACTCCACTGACAGACAAGGAAACAAAGCAAGCACACCGTGACACTGGATCCTCACATCAACTCCATTTGACAGACAAGGAAACAAAGCAAGCACACCGTGACACTGGATCCTCACATCAACTCCATTTGACAGACAAGGAAACAAAGCAAGCACACTGTGACACTGGATCCTCACATCAACTCCATTTGACAGACAAGGAAACAAAGCAAGCACACTGTGACACTGGCACCAGGTCAACAGCAGTCCCACTTCACTGACTAGATGGGAACCAGAACTGAGACCCAGTCTGAGATGTCCCACCTTAGCCTTCCTGCCGGCACAGCCTGCTGAACCTTCTCTGTGATCACTGAGGTCTGCACTCCCTGCTGGCTGCCCAGGAGGAGGGCTCGTAACCTCCGTTGGGAACACTCAAGGTGGCCACTACTGAGGAATGGGATGGGCTGGGTGTCATTGCAGGAAGAACAAAGAATCAAGCATCACAAAACAACAGTGAACTTGGAAGATCTTCCAGTGCTTTGGGTTTTTATTTTGTTTTTTGGTCAGTCATGGGGCTTGAATTCTGGGCTTGGGCGCTGTCCCTCAGCTCTTCAGTTCAAGGCGAGCGCTCTACCCCTTGAGCCACAGCGCCACTTCCAGTTTTCTAGTGGTTTATTGGAGATAAGAGTCTCAAGGGCTTTCCTGCCCAGGCTGGCTTTGAACCACGATCC